CAAGGGCCATGAGGGATGGGGGCTGGGGAGACTCAGAGGAGCCAGGGTTGAAGACAGTCTCAGATTTGGGCTGGAGAGCCTGGCGGGGTAGGAGGGCAGTGGGAATCAGAGTGGTCCATAGTCACAGGGGCTGAGTGAGGATCTGAGTGGACTGCCAAGCCGAGCCTCTGAGGCCCAGAGTACTTGGCTGATGGCTGGAATGGAGAGGCAGAGGCAGGCACCCTCACCAACTCCTTTGCGGCTCCCAGATGATGTGGATCTGGAGCTGCGCCTGGCCCGCTTTGAGCAGCTCATTAGCCGGCGGCCTCTTCTCCTCAACAGCGTCTTGCTGCGCCAGAACCCGCACCATGTGCACGAGTGGCACAAGCGTGTGGCTCTGCACCAGGGCCGCCCTCGGGAGGTGTGTGAATGCTGTCCAGCCCCTCCCCTGGGTAGGCAGGCTTTGCTCTGGCCCTGCCCCTCTGGCCACACCCCCTCAGAGCCACCACCCTACCCTGGCCCTGCTGCCCTCAGAGCCCTGTTTGGCCTTCATCCCACCTTCCCAGAATTACTATCCTATGGACACCTGCAGGGAGAGCCCTTAGTCCAGCCTGATCTCTACCCTCCTGCCCTCAGATCATCAACACTTACACGGAGGCTGTGCAGACAGTGGACCCCTTCAAGGCCACAGGCAAGCCCCACACACTGTGGGTTGCATTTGCCAAATTTTATGAGGACAATGGGCAGCTGGATGATGTGAGTGCCCTGGCGTGTGTGCCTTTGCATGTATGTGTGTTTATGCATGTGTGTGTGTGCTTGGCCACAGTTACATTTCTGACCCCTGGTGGTGAGGGCTACCCTGGTGGGCAGGGTTTTAGTCTGACCTCTACATGCCTCTGGCAGGCCCGCATCATCCTAGAGAAGGCCACCAAGGTGAACTTCAAGCAGGTGGACGACTTGGCCAGCGTGTGGTGCCAGTGTGGGGAGCTGGAACTCCGCCACGAGAACTACGATGAGGCCTTGCGGCTGCTGAGGGTAAACACAAGCCCAAGCTGGCGGGGAGCTGTGGGCTGTGCAGCCACGACCAGGACAGCCCTCGAGAGCTGCCCCTGCCATCGTCTCTCCTGCAGAAAGCCACAGCACTGCCCACTCGCCGGGCCGAGTACTTTGACGGCTCGGAGCCTGTACAGAACCGTGTATACAAGTCACTGAGGGTGTGGTCAATGCTCGCTGACCTGGAGGAGAGCCTTGGCACCTTCCAGGTGAGCTACCTGTGGCAGGCAGGGCTAGGTCCAAGACATAGCCCCAGAACATGCGCTGACCTGCTTCCTGTCCCCACAGTCCACCAAGGCTGTGTATGACCGCATCCTGGACCTGCGCATTGCCACACCGCAGATCGTCATCAACTACGCCGTGTTCCTTGAGGAGCACAAGTACTTCGAGGAAAGTTTCAAGGTGAGGGCAGCTCCCAGGCAGCAGACCTCCTCAGGGCCTTGGGCACTGGGAGGGTTTTCTAGGGCTGCTATAACCAAGTACCACGGACCTGGCAGCTCACAGTTGTGGAGGCTGGAAGTCCAGGTCATGGTGTCAGCAGCATTGGCTCCTTCAGAGCCTCTCCTTGGCTTGCAGACAGCTGTCTCTCCTGTGTCCTAGTGTGGTCTTCTCTTTGTGAGTGGCAGTGTCCAGATTTCCTCTTTTTTTTTGCAATTTTTGGCCAGGGCTGGGCTTGAACCCACCACCTCCGGCATATGAGGCCGGTGCCCCACTCACTGAGCCACAGGTGCCACCTCCAGATTTCCTCTTATGAGGACACTAGTCATAATGGGTTAGGCTGACCCTAAAGACCTTACTTTAACTTAGTGATCTCATCTTCAAATCCATCTGCATTCTGATGTGCTGAGGGCTAACACGGCTTAGCCTGTAGTAGGCACCAAGTCCTAAGCCTGGGGGAGGTGTGTGCAGGCTATCCCCACTCCCTGCTGCTCAGATGACAGGTTGTAGGTCAATGGGGTGTTTTACATGTCCCCTGTCACTCTGCCTGGGAGTGTGAGCCTTCCCCCCACTGGGAGCTGGTATCTGCAGAGCATCTCTACCTCTACCTATAATGTCACCTTCTAGGTGCCAGGCCCTGGGCTTAGGAAGTCTTAACTGCACCTTTGGCCTTGGAATCCTTGCAGTCTGGGGAGCACTAGAAGAGAGGGACTGACAGGCTGGGTTCCAGGTTGCCCCATCCATGGACTCACACACACAACCCCCTTCTGGGACAGGCATACGAGCGTGGCATCTCACTGTTTAAGTGGCCCAATGTGTCAGACATCTGGAGCACCTACCTGACCAAATTCATTGCGCGCTACGGGGGCCGCAAGCTGGAGCGGGCACGGGACCTTTTCGAGCAGGCACTGGATGGCTGTCCCCCCAAATATGCCAAGAGTGAGGCGGCGGGCTCAGAGGAGGGTGTGGGGAGGGGTGGCCTGGCACAGGCTGGGCCTCTGACTGACCCCCACTCTCTATTCTTCCCTCCCCACTGTAGCCCTGTACCTGCTGTATGCGCAGCTAGAAGAGGAATGGGGTCTGGCCCGGCACGCCATGGCCGTGTATGAGCGGGCCACACGGGCTGTGGAACCCGCCCAGCAGTACGACATGTTTAACATCTACATTAAGCGGGCGGCTGAGATCTATGGAGTCACCCACACTCGGGGCATCTACCAGAAGGCCATCGAGGTGCCTGCCACAGGGTGGGAGCTGGAGGTCCCCGTGGGCAAGAGGGACTGGGAGGATAGCCATAGTGTGTTGGAAGCCCTGTGAACTGCCCCCTGGCCTCACGTGTGTCCTGCCCTCCCTGACCCTACGGTCACCAGGTGCTGTCAGACGAGCACGCCCGTGAGATGTGCCTGCGGTTTGCAGATATGGAGTGCAAGCTCGGCGAGATCGACCGTGCCCGGGCCATCTACAGCTTCTGCTCCCAAATCTGTGACCCCCGGGTGGGGCAGGGTACTGGGAGGGACATTGTTAGGGAGGCTGTGGCCCAACTGGCCAGCTTATCCCCTGCCTCTGTCCCCCACAGACAACTGGCGCATTCTGGCAGATGTGGAAAGACTTTGAGGTGCGGCACGGCAATGAGGACACCATCAAGGAGATGCTGCGTATCCGCCGCAGTGTGCAGGCCACGTACAACACGCAGGTCAACTTTATGGCCTCGCAGATGCTCAAGGTGTCAGGCAGCGCCACAGGCACTGGTGAGCGGCAAGGCCACCCCTGCCCCCCCTCCCCCCCACCCCTGCCATGTTGTCCCACTTTACAAATGTTAAAATCTGGTCACCCTAATTTAA